CGAAGAACCTGAAATCGACAGGTTCGCGTTATTGTCGTCTCAGCGACACGGAGACTCGCAAGAAATCGGATCCAGGTCCGGCATTGGAATCGGGAGGGAGTATCAAGGTACCGGGAAGTAATTGTAGCATCGAGTACGGTCGATTCGACACGAAGACCCAGCGTCGAAAGAAATCGTCGGGTTCGGAGCCGTTAGTCCCTAGCAGCTCGTTGAAGAAGCCATCATCGGCGGCTGGTCACGAATACGAGCGTCTGCAAGCTGAAAATATTCGCAAGAAACAATCGTCCAGCTCGGAGGCGAAGCTGAGGGAGACGCAGAGCCGTTCGCTTATACCACCGCCGTCCCGTCGTATCGGGGAGTATGGTCGCCTCAGCGATGGTACCTTGAGGAAGCAGACTGGTTCGCGAGGACAGAGCACCGGTAGCACGGTCAGCAGCAAAAGCGGAGGACGCGATTCAGGAGGAACAGCAAGCAGCGAAGCGTCCACCTCGTCGTTGCCGCCTTCGAAGGCGAGATCAATACCGCGTCCTAGCAATTATCGCATCCAATTTTAATTTTCTTGCGAGAACGGGGTTGTTAGTCTTCCCGGTTTAAAGCGTTCCTCGAAGCGACGATCTTCCAAAGGAAAGATATACTACAGTTTTCCGTATCTTATCTTCCACGCGTAGGGATTGAATCGTTTGTTTTTCTTCTTTTTTTTTTTTCTTTTACCAACTTATTAACGCATACACTCTTGTTCTATCGTTATTTAGTTCCGAGTTTTCTGTTCCGGGTTATGCTCAACGCTACAACGTTGTTCCGAGGTGGATCTTGGAGAAACAGGGCAGGATAGAAGCGTGATAAACGCTTGCGAGCGACGAACGATGCAAGATGAAAATTTGACAAGATCAGCTTCGAGCGCGTTTGCTTTATTCTTCGATAGTTCAATAGAACCCTAATGTACGTGTACTTGCGTGAGGCGACGTGTCAAAATAGCCATAATAATGAGACGTCTAGTTGTTTTTTTTTCCTTCGCTATCGTTCTCGGAAGCCAAGCCAATCGCATGACATATTAGTGAAGACATACATACATACACATACACACGATATATTGTTGCGTAGCGATAGTGCATGACCTAGTCATTACCAAAGTAACTTTTGTTATGAAATGGAATTGTTTTCTTCTTGTTTCGTGCCTACGTTTCAGAACACTGTAGCTTTCTGTCAGACACGTGTATTTGTATATACAAACACGAACGAAGTGCCTTGTTATTATAGACTGCGTGAGAACGATCGGTACAACTAGGATAAGAGAGAGAAAGAGAGAGTACGTTCAGGAACTTTGACGATTGAGGAAACGATTTTTCTTTTTTGTTTCTTATGAATATTCAATTTTATATACATATATTTACTCTAACTGGCGGGAGTATCTGTGGCGTGCCTTACGAGAGGAGTCTCTGTAATCCGTGTATCTTTGAAGCCGTTTCCGGACGGAAACGCTGCTAAAGATACAAAGAAATCGGTTTCGCTTTTTCAGTGAAAAGCAGAGCCATCGGGGAATGAATCGAACGAAATTCAATTGTCCTGGATGGATAACGAGGGATTCAAGTAGTTTTATATTCGTATATGTTATTTTGTATAATTGCATTTTCGTGTGTACGTGTCTCGATTCGACGATTCTTTATTTTATTCTTTTTCGAGGCGAGAGAAATACGAATCATATTCGTGTAATTTAATAGAAATGATAAACAACGGTGAATTATATTACGTATAGGGTGTCGAAAAGATTTTTACAGCTATTCGAGGTAATACTGTTTTATATCGCGTTTGAAGTTTCTGAATGCACCTCAGGTCAATATTCACGAAAAATATTAACTATCATACGATCGATACCTATGGGGTGTATATTTTAGAGAGAATATTTATATACGTGGTGTTTCTTGTTTTTTTCCAGAATATTTTTCTTACGTGCGTTTCCACGTGAAATTAGTCTACATGTCGTATGAAATTCATAAATGAAAAATATTACGTACAATTTCTATACTTTTGATATGAGACGTGATCGATCAGCGGATTAAATTGCAAGGTAATTTTCATGTTCGACTGGTAATAATTAGGGATATAGGTACCTTTCTTTTATAAGACTGAAGGAAAAATGTATACCGACGAAAGAAATTCTTTTCTCGCGATTTGCTACCACTGTATCTGTTCTCACCTCCATCCTATTCTCTTTCATTTCTCTCTTCCCCTTTTCTTCTGTGTATACACGTATTTTACACACGATTGAAAAACAGATACACGCATACGAGCTAACACGATAAAAACGTGTATTGTTCACGTTACCAGTTCCTTCAATGCTACAGGGACGTTCGTGGTAAATATAGCGGAAATTTCATTAGCATTCTATAATCCCTTCGATGAATGGTACGTGGTCTGTTGAGAAAGAAACGAACGAAAGAAAGAACTACAAAAAGAGGGGAAACAAAGTCGTGTCTCTTTTACGTGTGTAACGTTATTGTTTCTACCAGAGAGACATCGGAAATTCTCGAACGAACCATTCGTTTTTTTGCCTTGTATGAGAAAAAAAAGAAAAATGTAAAAAAAAAAAAATAATAGAATGCCAAAGCGTTAGGAATGTCGCATACACTACCTACAATTTACAATGACAGATATGTTTTAATATAATTTAGCGTATTTATTTGTTTTCGTTTTTCTTTTTGTGTTAATTATCTATTGTACGTATAGGGTGAATTTTCTATGAAATTTCTTTGGTCACCATAGACGGGGAGCGTTTGTGACCAGCTTCTGTTTAGAGTGTAGGGTCCTAACTACTGGGTAAGATGAAAAAGACTCACCCTTTCTGTATACGTGGGGTGTGCTTTAAGATATGTGGCATATTTGAAAAAAAAACAAAAAAAAAAAAAAACAAAAAAACAAAACGAGAGGATCTCTAGCCATGTTTGTCAATCAGAGTCATGAGAAATTGATATTTTCTTCTTTTAATATATGTGAAATCAAAGTGTTCGATGTGTTCTCGAAAGCGTATGCAAATTTTTTAAGAGTATGTATTCGAACGAAGAAGGGCACACAGCGTTTACGAAAAATTATATACGGTTGACACAGATCGACGAGTAGGTACTGATAAAAGTATAGGTAATTTATTCTATTTTATTAAAAATTCAATTGTATTATAAAACAGCGACGTACCAGCATGCCAGCGAAACAATTTGACACAAACTAAAGATTCTTTGAATGTACTCTGTTCTATCGAACATCTCGAATTTGTGTTGAAATTGAAGGCAAATATAGGATATCTTTTGTAGAAATTCGAAATAAAAATTTTACTCGTAATATCCTTCCTTCGTTTCTTATGACTCATTGATTTCATCAAAGTTAATCCGCATGGTACCTGTATTCATCTTAACTTACCATTTTACTATGGTACCACAGTCTTTGAACTTTTGCCCTTCTTTCTTAAATAAATTATTCAATATATTCGATATTTTGATTCTAAATTACCTTAAACGGTTAAACTCTGCGTGTTCAAGAATTGCAAGGTGAGAAACCGGATATGCTCCTTTGACGATATTTCCTTTTTATTGTTATGGAATAAACTTTCCCTAAACTGTCGTTTTCTTATGGCTTTCATCGATGACAAAAATTATTTTCAGTGTGCTACTTAGAATGGAGGCGCATTTATAATTTAAATGAGATCATTAGTATTTTGAAAATATTCAATAATAATTATATTACATTGGATGAGCAATATTATATCATCTGGAATATTTAGTTCGTTTAGTTCGTTGTTTAATTAGTTTGATGTTTATTCCATTTTTAATTATTCCATTTGCAATAATTAAATAATTATGTATTCAAATGATTTTATTGATTTGCATAAAGGGTATACAATGCCATTTACGATGCGTAAAATGCACATTTATTGAAATCGTAAAACTTGTATTTAAATTACAATGATAAAATGTAAGTAATAAATATCAATCTTGTATTTACAGTTTAACTCAAAGCTTGTGGTTTGTGATGAAATGTAAGTAATAAACATCGATCTTGTATTTACAGTTTAACTCAAAGCTTGTGGTTTGTGATGTTCTTGAAATATTAGTTTACAACATTAGAAAGAAAATTGTTCAGTGAAGTGATATATCTTATAAAAATAATATTTCCCTTTGAAGTTTATCCCTTTGAGAGTTGTTTATCAAACTATACCAGTATACACGTATGGTCAACAGATGTTACCTTACATCGTGTACAAGTGTTTTAACGATACGTTTCATCGAATATTTTTAATATTATCTACAGTTTAAATAAATGAAATACATTAATTTCTCAGCCTTCGATATTTTTCATTAAAATACATATTTTATTTGCATCAATTATAAACAGGTTGTACGTTAAAATGGGAGCAAATACTTTCGACGAGTGACAAATAAACGCATAATTAACATCGGTCAATACCAGTACACTATTTATATAAATATTTGCAACAATTTAAATTTTATGTATCTGAAAAAAAAAATTGTGTTAGTTGTAAAAAGGAAATCAATAATTTCATACATTTGTGTACACGAAAGGTCAATGGAATTATAAAAATGATGTATTTATTCGTATTTATTATTATTGCAGGTATATTTGAAATAGATTAGACAAAAGAAGGCCATGATATGGGCATACATTTGAAATCTTTTAATAATTGAAACGGAGCAACAAATACTATGAAAGTTCCGAAATATCGTGTGAACAAGGCTAGAGTCTAAACAATTGGTCCACCGTATACCTGCAGAATTCATGATATTTCCAAGACGTTTTCCGTCGATTTTCCGCATCTGCGTTGTTCTTCTCTCATCCTCATCGTGTCAAGTGCTTTGCGTGCGCACTGCGCTCATGGGCCATAGGGGTTGGGAGGTGTAGTTGGATGCTAGTCGTCGGTACATTCGTGTTTGCTCGGCCGCACTCGGCAATTTCCGTGGATCTCTGCGGGGGCACAGGCCTCCTTCCCTTCGGAGCAACTCACAGTGTTCACACTCCCGCGTAGGTGTGCGGCGGTAGGTGCGAGTTTTATTTCTTCGTCGCGTGATCCAATGATGAGTACGTGTTCGCATCGGTCACCCTTTGAGTACAAGTGATACGTGAATCGCACGCTGCTCTTCGACGGATAATAAGCAGCAGCGGGCGCGAAAAACGAGGCAGGAGTTTCTTGGAAAATTGACAGCCGAGAGATAGAACAAAATTCGAGTGAGTACGAGAACCGGCAAAGAGGGACGATCATTGACATCGATGATTGATAAATGAACGACAACGAGCAAAATACAAAGTCGATCCATCTTGACAAATGGAATTAACCTCAATTTGAACAGTGAGTGGATTTGAAAGTGCTGATTCCTCGTTCTGACAGTATCGTACACCTGTTACGACTGTCCAGTCGTAACCGCGAGCCCTCGCGGTACACTTGTCAGCCTCTTCAATTTGATCGATTTCTCGAACGCGTCGATCTCTCGAACGCGTGTCGCTCTCTCTCGAACTCGGTGTGTTCGTGGGATATCCGGAAGTCAGATACAAGTGGATCGTCTCGTGGTGCGCGTCGGAAAGAACAAGTGAACAAGTAATGATACATTTTATATCTTAAAACCGGTAAAGTGCGTATAACCGATGATCACTACGGTAACACCTAATTAAGTGTACTTCAGTTAACTTACTGTTCTATTATTAACGCGAATATTAACGGATTTTCAATCGTGGCTAGTAGTCGAGTATAGGGATACCTCGTTGATTGTAATTTTTTCGAATTTCCTTTCGTCGAAGTGGAAATTGTTGTCGGTTTAGTACGAGAAAGACCGGTGATCGAATTTAAAAAAGGATATTAATGTGAATGACGGTTTTCGGGTGACAGATTCTCAAGTACAATTGTAAGTGGTCGAGAGATTCTCAAGTAAAGACGCCATGTAAAGATTCTAACAATAAGTAGTCGAAAGATTCTCAAGTAAAGGTGCCAAGTAAAGATTCTAAGTAGTCGAAAGATTCTCAAGTAAAAATTGATCGGTGATTGAATTTAATAAAGAATATTGAAGTGAATGTTAGATTTCGGGTGACAGATTCTCAAGTACAATTCTAAGTAGTCGAAAGATTCTCAAGTAAAGACGCCAAGTAAAGATTGCACGCGGTCGAAAGATTCTCAAGTAAAAATTGCAAGTAGTCGAAAGATTCTCAGGCAAAGATTCCGTGAAACGTTCGCAGGATTACGTGGCGTGTGAAAAGTACTATTTAATTACAACGGAATATTAAATTCGCGTTCGATTTTCGTTGAAATCTGTTTGACAACGGACACTTTCGAATATTTACTTCGCGACAGATAACAGTGTACGGTGCACGCGAACTGTGAAGTGACCTTTCCGCAAACGAAAAATACGGTCGGTCCTGTGTAAGTGAACTCGGTCTGTGTTTACATACGTTCTTCCGTGTTCGGTGTGTTCATGTTCCTGTAGCGGACAACCATGAAGGAGTACGAAATGAAACCGTCGCCGATGAGGCTTATCCTGATTTTCTTCGTTTTTTCCACCACGGCCATTGTGAAAGGTAAGTGTCCAATTGTACCAATGGTTTCGAACGATTTTCGATAAAATCGACATTGCCTCGTATACGGCTGGTATTTAAGCGTTTCGATGGCTCGTTGAAAAGCTGATGAAAAGTAGCGGTATACGAGACGCTGCATGTGCAATATTAATTAACGATTTCATAATTAAACAACGGTACTTTCCAAAATCATTTCTCGGGTATGAATTAACATATTGCCAACCAGCCACGAGAATTTTTATTTCATTTAAGTACATTTAATTAACGCGTTCATTGCCATGGTGGTCGCTTCAAATTTGATGAAATTAAGTTACTATTATTTAATTAAAGTTAAATATATAATTTTTAAATGAAATAGATTCTTATGTTGAAAGAATAATTTTTTTGAAGGAACAATGTAATTTGGAAAATGAAAATAATATGAAATATAAAATTAAATTAAAATTGAGGCTCTCTCGATGGTTCGCCGTTCAAAGCTTAATGTCTGACTACTCACTTCCGTTTCTACTGTGGCAGTGAACGTGTCGAGAAGGAGGAAAGGGAACGCTTGCATGCTTATTAGATTATTAAGTCCTACTTTAGTTAACATTTTGAAGAGAGCAATTAGAAGTTGAAGTGTAGGTTGAAAGTTTTCGCGTAGGTAATAAAGAAAACAAGCGTCGCGAATTGGATTTCGCGAAATTGCGCCAAAAGGCGGCCATCCAATCATTCAGTGAACCAATCACTCGGTAAATGGAAACGGGACCGGTCTCTCGAGCCGAGCTTGTTTCCCACTTTTCCCCTTGTTGTTCTGTTGTCGTTGTTATTGTTGTTTGCATGTATTAAAGCTGCGTGACGGATTTCATTGTTTCACACGGTGTTCTAGCTTCATTTTTTTTTTTTTTTTTTAATATTCGATCGAGTAATCCCATCGAATAATTTAACGCGTTAATGTCTATGGTACTACAGTGACCTAAAAGCGCATAAATCCGTTCAAAATAATAACAATCAGATGATTAAAATAGGGAAAAGGTTAATTTCGAAAAATGATAGATACATTTATTAAAGTTGTACCAATGGAAATTTCATTTTCAACGGAAACTTTTCATTCCAATCGCACGCGGTAAGGTTTTAATCGAGTTTCGCGATATGCTTAACGAATCTCGTCGTCAATTTTGTTCACTCGTTCATCGTGAAATGGTAAAGAATTCTCGTCGTACGTCTTCGACCAGAGGGAAAAGGGAATACAATTCCTGCGTGAAGTTTTTCGATTCGAACATCACGCAGGACGAAGGTAATTCAGAAATGAGATTTCCAGTGGGTTGAATTTTTTCATTTTCCACCATTCTTTTTCTTTTTCATTTTCATATTTCCCTCGGCTGGAGTATTCCAACTTCGAATATGATTTTGAATTCGATTTAGAATTTCGCCGCTCGTCGTCCTGCGATCTTATTCTAATCACGCTGGCGTATAGATGAATATCGCGTAGTTAATTGGTGGAAAAGGTAAAAATAGAAAAAGTGATTTCAAGTTGAACGTTCTGAAAACGAGACGAAGGTTGAGATTCCTTCGATAATTTCCGATAGAAGGGAATTGAAAAAGCTGGCTGCTTCGTTCGATGCAACGTCACGAAATTGTACAAGAAAAGATGGATATCCAGCGTATCTTGTTAATAATTTCTGTGCAGCGTGCGGCGCGAGTTGGAGCAAGCGTAACCGTGCAACGAGATCGAACGTTTCTTGTCGTTACTTCGTTCGATCGGACGGCTTGATATTCCTCTCTCAGCGTTCTCTAGCTAAATTAAAAAAGAAACATTGAGCAGCGCGCGTTTTCCTTTCACCGTCAAAGAAAAACGGGAACAAACCTATGACTCGTTGGATAACTAGAACTCTTTCTTCATGGCGATCTTTGCCAAAAACTCTTCCTAGAGAAATTCTATTCTCTCATAGCGCCGAACAAGGGGTGTCCAAGGGGTATATAGCCCTGGAATTCGCTTTCCAAGGGGGTTACTAAAAAATTTCAATTTTTGAACAAAGGGGACTTTCGAAATTTTCAGCCCCAGGCCCCAGAAATATTAATCCGGTATCGATCGTATATTAATTAGAAAAAGCAATTTCATTTACGTTAGACTCAACCCTCTTCTCGATTGTTATTTAATCATTCTTTATAGAAAAGTCGCTTTGAGAGGCACGAAAGCGTGTTTGCGAGCAAAAAATGTGATAGAAGGCGAATAAAAAAGAAACTATCGTTCATAGCGTCGAATGATTTAGTTTTGTTAGAAAACAGGAGACTCTTTGCCGGTCGGTTTATTCACTCGATGCGGTTCGTTCGTTTCTCAAAGCGTTTCAATTTTCTTGGCGAATGCGTTTGTTAAATATAGTATAAATTCTCGGGTTATTATCAATTAACCGTGTGTACTCGAGTTTTTAAATCGTATCCAGGCTATGTTTTAGTCATTATTGAATGTCCTTTGAACGGTGGGAATGAATTTGAAAAACAGGCGCTCTTGTTTTCAGGAAATTCGGTTAGCTCGGTGGTATAGACAGAGGGATGAAATTAATTTTGACGTAAATTTGTCAGCGGTACGTTTAAAAGAAGCGTAATTGTAGAACAATTTTATCTTTTAAAATGCTTTCCCTCTGTTCAACTGTGGAGGCTTTCAAAAATTTCCAGTTAACGACAGTGTAGCCATATGGTTAATGTCCTTTTTTTCCTGCAAACGAAGCCGAGAGGGGAGGTTAAATCGTTGGAAATTGCTGCAAACTATGCTCGATTACTCGTTTTTATTTTCTGTTGCAAATTATTTTGCTCTCGTTCAACTGAAGTGGACAGTTTGCCGGATACCGAGACCGGAAGCGAAGCCTCCGAAATTCACAAAGGTCAGAGCAATTGGTGCTCGTTCGTCAACGTAATATCTTTGGGTGAAACTTTTCGGAAACCGCGTCTTCGTGGTGTTAGTTTTCTTAATCGTCGTTTAATGTCCTACCTCGAAGATCCTTATAAAAGTTTACACTCGATCGACGTAGTTTTTGCCGATGTTACTTTTTCTCGCCAATTCCCAATGTTATTCTCCTTTTTCGTTCGTTTTAATCGACGAACGTCACGAATTTCGCCGAGGAAATTCTGTAACTCGTCCAGTCAGCTTGGTGATTTATTGCTGCCACGAGTTACGTTGAAAAATACTCGTTGCTTTATACATCTTTGTTTCCGGTATTTGGTTTACGGTATTTCGTGAAAATTTTGAAATACCCCTTTCGCTTCTTCCAGAAATTAAAATTTTTCAAGCATCCACGCAGGGTCGATTGAATTTTAATCGTGAAAATTACCCTGAAAATGAAATCCAAATGGCAAATATTTTTCACGGTTCGGCTTTGTATCTGCTTCAATTATAACGCAGTAATTATTGAAACTTGTTTACCGTTGACATTGTAACAATGCGCGTATGCGCTGCATTTACAATGGAATTTAATTCACTTTTCATTTTAATCAAAATACCGTGAATTTACGAACAGTATTCCCTGTCACGATAGAATATTTTTATTTACTTAAAAGCATCTGTTATGTGTATACGTGATTGATGAAGACTGATGGGAAACTGAAACGGGATATCCATTCATTAAAATTTTTTATCATACATTCATTGATTTATTTCGCGCCAAATGTTTTTCATATTTTCATGTTTCGTTGGGATTCCATTTCTGTTTTCTACATGTTTTCCAATATACATGTTTCAAACTTAGTTCTTTAATCAAACGAATGTATGCTAAATAGTTTGAACGAGTTTTGAAACGATTTCTAAAAGAAGAAAACGAGCGAATTAATATTTTTCGTCGAGGTAGATTTCGTGTCTGAGCAAGTTGCAAGGGAGCAACGTTAAGAAATCAGACAAACGCTGAATCGTGGTATAAAAGTTTTATAGACAAGGAAATACGCGATCGGGATTGGAAAAATAGTAGATAAATTACGATTGGAAGACGGTCGATCCTCGGGGATTTAGGATACTAAATTCAATTGTCCATAAAATCTTCGGATCGCGGTAGCAAAGGAAAATTATAGTATTCGAGTGTTGCGCGATTTGTATGAGAAATTTCCACTTTAAGCTTACAGCTTGATTCCTTCAGTATCGAACTTTTCTCTCGAAGTTTCGAAGTTTTTACGAGCCCGTAGAGAAAGAAATTGACCGAAAACTGTTATTTTACTCGAAGCATCTAATTAATTTTTTGCTGTAGATTTATATATTTTTCCATAAAAGATATTAAGCAAATTTCTATGTACAGTAAAAAAGAGAAGGCTCACGTACAAAAAAGTTGCACAATCAAATCTTTCCATGCATCGTTGCTCTTGGAAAAAAAAAAACGAGAACGAGTCGATAGATTTAGTTACACGATTCAATTTTTCCCTCTATCGCTTTTGTCTAGCTTCAACGAAACGGAAACTAATCCGTTTTAACTGCACCCTGAATAACTACGCGTGTGTAATATTCATTTAGTTATTGAATATATTTCCATCAATTCGAATCCTTAGATCGTGAAACTTGTTTAATTTTTAAATTCATTTTCAATTCATTTGTATTTTATTTTGGAAATTTGAACGATTGATTATAAATAATCGAGAGAGATTTCTTGGTTCCAATCAATTATCTATCAAAACAAGACGGAACGCACATAGTATCAGGGGATCGCTGAAAGATCGATAATGTTTTGAGAAGGGGAATTTGTAGAAAATGGAATTGCCAGTAACTTCGTAGCATTCTGTTTGCGAACGATCCGTTCACGACAAAACCGAAGACGTCTACTTTATGCAAACTTTCTGCACGAACGAGTTTCCGCAGTTATTCGGTTTAACTGTTCCTATTACATATGGATACACGCATAGTTGCGATAACCTCGTCCAATAGTTATGGAAATTCCTATTAATTTCGTGGCGAAGGTAAAACGAACGTTTACGTTTATTTGCGGTGATGAATATCGGATTCGTGGATCGACTATCGTAACTCGTATTCTCCAAACGATTGATGCAACAGA